TGGGGGACCTCTTGGGAGCTTCTGGGGCTCTCTTGGGGGCGTCCTGGAGGCCTCCCAGATGTCTTGGCGGCATGTTAGGAGCCAGACGGCCCAAGATAAGGCCCCACGGCCCTTCTTGGAACCTTCTTGGGGCCCTCTTGGGAGTCCCTTGCAGCCCGCTTGGGGCTCACTTAGGCAGTCTTGGGGACTTGCTGGGCCGTCTTGGGGCTGTCCTCAGCCGTCCTTGGGCGCCTCTTGGGGCTGTTTGGGCGCACTGATATCCAAGGGAGCGGATATGCTAAATCCGCCGATCCCGCGTGTGAGTTTCAAGGAGTCTCAGCTACAGCCTCGAGGCTGAGCCTCAGCCTCTGGGGGGGTTGCCGGGGTGGCTCTGCCGGGGAAGGGGGGGGTGGGGGGTGCGAGTTTCCGGCGGATGCGTTTTTTGACACCCCTCACAAGGATCGTGGCCTCCGAGGGGGTTCCGAACTCGAGTACCACCCCTCCCGCACCAAGAGGCTCCGAGGAGGCCTCCAAGAGGCCCCAAGGGGCGCAGAAGAGGCCCCCAAGAAGCCCCAAGAGGCTCCCAAGAGACCCCCAAGAGGCCCTCTAGTGGCCCCAAGAGGCCCAAGAGGCCCCCAAGAAGCCCCAAGAGGCGCCCAAGAGGCCCCCAGAAGTCCCAGCCAACCACGAGATCCCAACCAGCATCCATGAGGCCTCTGACCCACCACCCACGCACGGTGGCGGGATAGGCCGACGGCCACTGGATCCGCCGCCCCCTGCTTGCAGGGGTGCACGGCGTGCTGGATGATTCAGGTTTTGGTTTTGGTTCTTTTTCTAAAAGAACTCCCCAGTGGGCTTCGGCCCGTCCCGCCGGCCACCCGCAATTTTCCCATAATCCATCTGTCAATGCCCAAAAACGGCCGTTTCGCTCGGGACATCCTCAAAAAATCGCGAAGATGGCCCAAGATGGCCTCCAAGTCCGCCCGAGATGGTCCAAGACGGCCTCCAAAACGGCCCAAGAGAGTCCAAGACGGCCCAAGACGGCCCAAGAGGCCCCCCAGAGGCCTCCCAGACGGCCCAAGAGGCCTCCAAGAGGTCCTCCAGGAGAGTCCGAAGAGGCCAAAATCATTGATTTTCCTTGGTTTTTGAAGGATTTTGGCATTTGCGCCTTTTCGGCTCTCCGACGGCTCAAGACGGCCCAAGAAGCCCCCAAGATCGCCCAAGAGGCCCCCAAGAGAGCCCCATGATGGCCCAAGTGGCCTCCAAGATGGCCCCTAGAGGGCCCCAAGAGGGCCCAAGAGGCCTCCAACACGCCCAAGATGGCCTCCAAGACGCCCAAGATGGCCTCCAAGACGGCCCTGGAGCATTCCAAGCGGGCCCCAAGTCGGCCCATAGAGGCCCCCCAAACGGCTTCCGACGGCTTCAGACGTGCCAGGAACCCACCAAGATGGCCGAAGTTGGCTCGAAGCTGGCCCGAGACGGCCCAAAAAGCCCCAAAGATCGCCCAAAGCTTGCCCAAGAGGCCTCCAAGACGGCCAAGATGACCTTCAAGATGCCCACGTGTTCCCCGAAGGCTTTCCAAACCGATTCGGGGAACACGTGGTCCGATAGCTTGGCAGGTCTGGCCTCAACGTTCGGCCACATAGGCGCTTCCAAAAAGGCAGGGGGCGGCGGTGATTCGCCGTAGGCGTCTTCGATAAATGCTGAGTGAGAGGAGGGGAGGGAAAAGAGAGGAGGGACGAGGGCGAAGAAGGATCACATCAGTCGGAGCGCCCCGGATCGGCGGCACTGGCCGAAGGCCACTACAATATGTATGTTTTACGTAAGGGATGGGGCCTTTTTGGTCTCCCAAGGCCCTCGGGGGCCTCTTGGACCTCTCTTGGGGCGTCTTGAAGGCATCTTGGCCCTTCTGAAACCAGCTTGGGCCGTCTTGAAGCGCTCCTGGGCCCTCTTGGGCCCTCTTGGGGCTCCCTTGGGGCCCGCTTGGGGCTCACTTAAGCAGTCGTGGGGCCCTCCTGGGCCGTCTTCGGGCTGTCCGAAGCCGTCCTGGGGCGTCCTTGGGCGCCTCTTGGGACTGTTTGGGCGCTCGGATATCCAGGGGAGCGGATATGCTAAAAATATACGCTTACGTAAGGAATGGGGCCATTTGGGTCTCCAAAAGCCCTCGTGGGGGGCCTCTTGGACCTCTCTTGTGATGTCTTGAGGGCCTCTTGGCCATTCTGGAAGCAATATTGGGCCGTCTTGAAGCGCTCCTGGTGCCCTCTCAGCGCTCTTGGAGCGCTCTGGAGCGGTCCGGGAACCCCTGGGGGTCGTCCGGGGAGCCTCCCGGGGAGAGCCCCGTGGTACAAGGTGGGGGCCAGCCTGGGGCCCCGGGGCTGGGATCTCCCACATGTGTGTATATATGTATATATAGATATGTATGTATGTATGTATGTATGTATGTATGTATGTATGTATGTATGTATGTATGTATGTATGCATGCATGCATGCATGCATGCATGCATGCATGCATGTATGTATGTATGTATGTATATATATATAGTTATGTATGGCTGTATGCATGCATGAATGTATATGTATATGTATATGTATATGTATATGTATATGTATATGTATATGTATATGTATATGCATATGTATATGTATATGTATATGTATATGTATATATATGTATATGTATATGTGCATGTGTATGTACATGTATGTATATGTATATGGATGTATATGTATGTATATATATGTATGTATGTACATGCATGTATGCATATGTAGGTAGGTAGGTAGGTAGGTAGGTAGGTAGGTAGGTAGGTAGGTAGGTAGGTAGGTAGGTAGGTATGGGGTGCTTTTCCTCATCCTCTTCTCCTCTTCGACACCGATGGGGATGACCTTGACAACCATCATCTCCCCAAGACGGCCCACTTCCAGCTGGAGGCATCGCGGGCCTTGTTGCCATCCGAATTCATATTGAACTCCTCACTAGTTGGGCAAACTTGGGGAGCTGAGGCCGAGTGCCCTTCCAAAGAGATGCTATACACTCTGCTGCAAAGCGTCCAGATACATGTTTATTCACTGACACCAGCGCCTTCTGAAATGGAGCCCTCCCCCTGAAGGGCGCAGGCATGTTCTAGTTGCACCGCGGAGCAGTTTGCGATGGGAACAATGCCAGGTATACCTGAGGGCGTCGCACACGCTTCGCGGTAGCGCTCAGGTTCCAGCTTGGGACGGCGGCATGATACATCGACCATCGAGGTACCAAATCTGGAAGGCTTCCTGAGAAAACATATAGGGCGGACTGCGTCTTGGCAAGCTCGCGCGATGCCCCGAGCCCGACAGACTGGCGAACGGAAAATGTGAGCCGCGCCCAGGCGGAGGTACAACTCTGCTGAGGTGAAAGCGACATGTCTCCCTTGCGCGCGCGATGTGCGCCGCCCCGTACTCCTGCGGCGCAATTTGCTACGTCATTGGCAAAACGTCCACGTTGGGCGTGATGAGCAAGGAACAACATTCTGCATAGGGTCGCTGTCGGCCGGGGCTATCTGGCAGAGTGCACTCAGGAGTGGGCGCCAGGGAGGACGCCCAGGACCTCGCGCCCCATCGTTGCCCCCACTCCCCCCGTCTCCAGAAGCGTCCCAGATGAGGTCCGAAAATATGAGGTCGGCGAATATACGGAATCCGCTGCGCTGCATCGCCGACGTCGACGATGCGTCGTCGCCGTCGGCGTGGAGAACATCGGGCTCCACATCGAGCCGTATCGGCGATGCAGCGGCGATGCGGCGCGATCCTCCGACCCCATCTTCTGCTAGGGCAACTACCTTCGGGGATGGACAGACCCCCCTTTAGTAAAACGTGGTTTAGTGAAAACGACCTGAGGCCCAAACCTTGCGGGCGCAAGCATGGAAAATAACGGCCACGGCGACCTCTCGAGAACCAAAAACGGACAATTTACTAATCGACGTGTCACTGTTGGGGGTTCTGTCCACCCCTGACACCTTCGCGCTCCGCGCTCCGCGGAGCGCCGTTGCCTTCGCGCTTCCCTGCCGCCGCCCCGAGGACAGAACGAGGGACCCGCGTCCCGTTCTGGAATCGCCCAGGCCGCGAAGCGTGACTAACTTCGCACCCTCGTGGTGGCCCTACAGTCGAGGCGTTGACCTAAGGAACCCTAAATAAGGAACGAGGCCCCTTTTTTTCCATAAGTTAATCTTCGATTTCCGATCGAAAACATAAGGGAAGCCTGAGGCAAGCTGTGAAACACTTAGGGAACTCGGAGCCCCTCCCCAACGAAAAGGGTTCCTTGTTCAGGGCCCCGACTGTACGCGGACTCCACTTGGGAGGCCTGGAGTCTCCCCGCCACCGTTGAGGCGCCCGCCAGCGCGTTGGCCGCCCCCTCGCCGTCCGTCGACTGACGGGGAGCGGGGGCGGCAGGTTCGGGCGCCTCCTCGGCGGACGCCGGTGCGGCTGCTGCCTCGCAGAGGGGGTGGGGCACTCTCCCATGCAGCTGTCACATGCGATAAGAGGTCCTGCTGTATGAAGTCTGGGGGGACGCTCGTCGTCGAGGTCTGAGCTGCCCGAGATGCCCCAGGGCCTCTGTGGGCCCCAGGGGCCATCGTGGGATACGAGACTTCCGGCGAGCCTCTGCTGGCAAGCTGGGTTTTTTTAAGGGGCCCAAGGACACACAGGTAAATACACACACATCCCAGGACTCCCCATCTGCTTCCCTTCCCCCCCACTACCCATAGTTTCCCGCATTTTCCTGGGAATCGATGACGAACTGTGTCTGTGTGCTTCGTTCCCTCCGGATCTTCTTCGCGCCGCACCTGCGGAACACCTTCCCCCTCGTGGGCGCCAATCGCGTTGCCCACGCTCTGGTCTGCGTCTGTGCGACGACTGTGCACACAAGCAGCCGATTGCTTACACCCGCGCAGAAGGATCGCTCGTCTTCGCCGTCCGGCATCGTCACTGCGTGCGCGAGGCGACAGGGGCGGCCCTCGCGCGACCCACGCGCGCCTGGGCGCGCGCCTGCTCACACGACCACGCCCGAGCCCGCGATCATCGAGCACGCCGAAGTGAGCGGAGAGTCGGCATGAGACCGAGCGCGAGCAATGGCCTCGCCCAGCAGCCCGATCTCCGCGGTGCGGTTCGGCGTGGGCCTCTGCGCCCGAAGGCTCTCCCGCAGGCCGAACAGGGCCCAGCCGCAGTTCGGCTCTGCGTGCCACGAAAAGCCGTGCAAGGCTGCTCGAAATGTTCTCTCGGCCTCTGCCGGCTGACCAGCCGACAATTGTGCCTGACCGTAGCACTCGCGGGTTGGCAACAGCCAGGGGGGCGGCTCGTCGTATGGCATTCCCATCTCCACGGCCACTGCGGCACCGAATAACTCTAAAGACTCCTTCACAAAGCCCCGCGCATGAGCCAAAGCGGCTGCTGCAGTGTAATTTGCGATGCGCGATGCCTTTACAACAAGGTCACCCTCCGTTGCGTACACAACAGGCAACAACCTTTGCAGAATACGGAGATTGCTAGCTGCCTCATCTAATCGGTTGAGCCGGGCTGCTGCGATAGACAAGGCAAACGTGCGCACAACACCGTAACCATATGGCCACTGCAGGCTGAAATTTCCGGGTGGAAGCGAATCAAGCTCCACCATGCGGCCCCAATCGCCGAAGCGAACCGCGACAATCATCGGGTAGCTCCAGGCCACTCTACCATTGGGCCCATCAGGTCTTGCTGGTGCGTCCTTGAAGAGCTGCTGGGCGACCTGGGCATACCTGTAAGAGGTAGTCCTTTCGCCAGCAAACAAGGCAGAGCTCAAGAGGAAAACAACGTTGTGTCCAGGTCCGTAAGGAATCTTGCCGTGCTTCAAGAACTGCTGGTCACTATCGACTGCATCCTTGTTGGCTTCCACACCGTTGTGGTAGAACCCTGTTCGGAAGAAGGTATGGCTGGTCATGTGCTGAAGATGGCTATTCTGCAGAGGGAGCCGCATGTTTTTCCTCAAATGGGCTGCTGCCTCGACCCAGCACCTAGTGCCTCCGAGTTTGACATTTCAGTGCTGTGTATGAGTAGGTGCTGGGCATATGGATGCGTCTGGCCAGTTGTCGCGAGCACCCCTCGCAACATTTTAGAAATCTCAGCAGTGCCCTCTGCAGGTGTGGGTGGAAGATCATCGCCGTTACTTTTGTAGAAGTGGTAGCCGGCGTCATCGCACATGAGGACCATTCTGGCCTCGGCATCAAAGACGGTGAGGTCGACATCAGAAGAAAGAGACACATTCGACTCCCGCGCGGTTCGCAACACCTTGGCATATTGCTTGTAGCTTTTGACTTGGTCGCCTGCGGCTGAGTTTGCGGGATAACGGACAGCCATGGCATCGATCAGAACCCGCTCCTTTGCGCTGTGCCTGTCGCGTCTCTTCGCAAGCTGCGCTGACGCATTCGCGGCCGCAAACAGACCTGCTGCCAGATCATCGGAAGATTTGGTGGGACGGTTCAGGAAGGGTCCATGGGCATGCGCGAGGCCCCACCAGCACATGGAGCAACTCGGGTCGTTCTCCAGGCAAGCCTTGAATGCGGATTGCGCGTTTGGCTGGTCAAAATTGTAGATGAGCAACAGACCAATACCGAAGAGCCGCTGCGCCTCAGAACTGAGCGTGGTAATATTGAACGCAAATCGACCCACAAGGGGCTGCCAAGCCTCCAAATCGGTGAATGGTGGTGCAAGCGGTGCATGCCCCAAATGGCTATGCACAGAGTCATCGGCTGCCGCCGTCAAGAGCACGACGCTTTGCACCAATCGGAAGACCATCATGGGTCCAACTGACTTCACAATGAACACGACGGACTTGGACTGGGCCCGGATGGCTACGGAACGTGAACATACGAAACATGCGTGCTGGTGCAAGCACGCGCGCTGGAGCAATTGGAAGCGATCCAGAGCCCCGTCGCGTTAACACACCCAATCACACACGCACACCTCACAAACACCACTCATGCACACACGCATGCGCACATATTCACGTAGTGGTATTCATCTGAATACACATACACGTGCATCCACATGGTGCCGGAGCGTGGACCCCAAGCAGCTTATTCGTGTAGCGTTGCATGTGGAATCCGCGGTGTCCAACCCTGTATGTGTTGAGCCCTATACGTGTGGTGGCCAATATCTATATGCCGACCCAATGTGTGTGTAACTGTCTCTGGACTCCTATACGTGCGGAGCTCGTTTTTATTAGACACTGCCCCTTAGACCCGCCTCGTAAACTGCAGGTCGCAAGCTGCCTCGGACTGCGGCGCATTCCAAGGTCCCTGTGCACAAGGAGCCGCACCAGGAGTCCGCCATCCCAGGAGTATCCTCACCCCCCCCCCACAGGGGCCTCTGCGTTTCGAGCCCAAGTTATGCAGCCCTGTATACGTGTGGAACCGCCAAGAAACCACAGGAGCCCCCCCCCCAGATCTGAGCGGTCACCAACAAAAAGGCCGCACGCAGGTCCAGTAAATCCAAAGGCGTCATTGGAATCCATAGGAGTCCAAGCACCCACTGGCAACAGGGCCGCACGCAAAAAGGATGGGACATGAAGGGGGCAGAGAGAGGAGAGAGCATGAGAGAGAAATAGACTCTGGGCCTGGACGTGGAGCATCCCAAGGCGATATCCGGTCCCAGAAACATTGGATCATGATCAATCCTTTGCTTGGGTTCGTGGAAGGAGAGCGAAAGGAGACAACAGAAAGGAGAGGATCAAGGAAAAGGGGCATAACATGAGGGAAGATATCGCAGGGCCAGGACCACTCCGAGGCGCAGGCCGGCTTCGAACAATTGGACCGCGATCACCTTGATCGTTTGGGCAGACGCCCACAAAAATATATTGATCGCGATGAGATTGTTCTTGGATCGGGGTCATATTGTTATTTGACTTGAGTGATCGCGATCACATAGATCGCGGAAGGAGGGGTTAGGGAGATAGGGAGAGAGTAGGGAGGAAGACAAGATGGATCAGGGAGGCGTGAAGGAGGGCGAAGCAGAAACGCGACATCGCACCTATTTAATCCGCGCGGGCGGCAGCTTGCAAATCCGCATCCGCCACAAGGACACCGTCCTCGTCGCTGTAGACGTAGTCGCCAGGCTGAAACGTGACGCCGGCGAAAGTGACAGGGACGTCCCGCAGGCCCCAATCGCGCTTCCCGCTCCTCGGGAGGACCACACACCCTGTGGAAACAACACGCAACCACACACTGCGGCCGCTCGCGTGCGACCTCTCCGCCTGCACCTGACCCCGCCACAGCACGCATGCGAGGGTGCAGGGGGCAACGATGGGGGTGGACCGTCTCAGGAGGGGGGGGGGGGAGCATCGAGCTCGAATCGGCGATACATCGGGGGGGGGGCAGCGAGCTCGACTCGGCGATGAATCCACGACGCACCAGCGATGGGCCCCAGATGGCAAAACAGCCAACCCCTGGGCGGGGTGGGGGCCAGCGGGCTCCCCTCGGGGATGCGCGGGTGCCTGGGCGTCGACGCCTCGCCTCGCGGAGCCCGCCTCCCCCTGACGTTGCGCCTGAGGAAGATGCGTTGGGCGTGGCTTAATGGGGGGGTCACAAATGGGGGGGTCAGAAAAGGTCCCCTTTCGTGCCCCTTTCGGGCCCCTCCGGAGCCGCGGGGGGCTCGTTTAGGTACCGTTTGGGTACCTTTTCGGGCCACACTCGCCGCCCCCCCATTTATGACCCCCCCATTACGCAGCGCCCAAATGCGGGGTGGAGGTCCAGCGCCGGCGAGGAATCGGCCACGGCCATCGCTCTGCCACAACACAGCAGGAGCGCAGAAGAAGGAACGAGCGGGGCTCTTCTGGCCAAGGCGAGCCTCGGCCATACGGACGCTCTCCGACCTGGATTTGAAGAGCGGCCCGAAAACCAGAACCCCTCCTGAGTCCGAAACGGTGCCTAAAGTGGAGGCCAGTCCACAAGAAACCTTCCACGAGAAACCCAACCCTGAGACCCGAGGACGTCCACTGGTTTTTGGTGTGAGCACGTCGCGCTTTCCACAGCAAGACCATCGAAATCCCAGAACCCCAGGGCACCCTGGAGGCAAGTAGGATGTTTCTTGGCATGGGCCCCCACTGTACTTCAACGTCTTGGCTGCACACACGCAAGAGCGACCCTGGGCAGGAGGGACCTCCTGGTGCGAGGCTCACCCATCGCTGCCTGCGGTGCGGCCGTGGCGGCTCTGCGCGCCTGGCCCCCTCGAAGCCCCCCAAGGGGAGTTCAAGGGAGAAAGGAAGGGGAGGGCGGGGAATCCTCCCCCTCCTCCTCCTCCTCCTCCTCTTCCTTCTCCTATAGTCCTCCTCCTCCTCCTCCTCCTCCTCCTCCTCGTCCTCCTCCTCAGAGGGGGGAAGAATGGGTGGCCTTGCGTGCCTGGGCTTGAGCCTCCAGAAGCCGCGCACTAAAGGTCAGGTCACTCCAGCGAGGGGTCACTTCTCGCGCGTCGGCGAGAGGAGCCGTCCACGGAGGGGGGCCGAGACCTCGCGGTACTCGTGTGGCCTTTGCTGGGGCCCCCTGTCTTCACGGGGTAGGTGCCCAGCGCCTTGACGCCGAGAGGCATCCTGCTGGGACAGCAAGCGACCACATCGACATGGAGGACACGCCCTCGGGGTTGTCCTGCGCATGCTAGCAGTCGTCAGAACACCGGCACCAGCTTAGTGCTGGCCGGTTTGGGCGCCCAAGACGACCAAAGCGACCACAACCACGACCGAAGCGTTCCTGTGAAAGCCGGCGGGATTTCCCTCAAAGGGGCCCTCCAGAAAAAAACCGTGCAGTTCTGGCTGTGGTGGTTTGCTGTGCCCCGCCATCCCCCGCAGGCACGCCGCATCGCGCAGGAACCCGTGGAGCAGCACGCCGGCCCAGCCGTTGCGCACCGCCAGCTCGCCCAGGTTGTCGCCGAAGAGCGCCGCCCGAGGCGAGCCCCCCGCGTCCACCACCAGGACCCGCCCACCGCCACTCTCCGAGAGCACCGACCGCACCTGGAAAAGCACACATGAAGGGGCCCCGGGACACACAAGCAAATACACACTGGTTCCCCATATTTTCCAATATTTTCTGTTTTTTTATCTTCCCGCCCAATTCCCATAATTTCCCATATTTTCTGGTGAATCGGCGATTAATTGTGTCTGTGTGTTTTTTAACACAGGCAGCATAAAAAAACTGCGACGAGGCATCGGCGACACCTCGGCGATGCATGGGCGGTGCACCGGCGACGCTGGCAGTGCATCAGCGATGCTGGCGTGGAGAACATCGGGCTCTCGAGCGGCATCGCCGATGCATCGGCGATGCGGCGCGATCCTCCGACCCCGTCTGCTCCGACCCCACCCAAGCGGCCTAGAGTTGAGGGCCTTGGGTAAGGAACGGTTGGATAAGGAATCCGTGGTCTGGAAGCAGGCGGAACTCCGACTGAGGTCTGGCCATGGATATCACCGCCGCCCTCGTCATAGAAGGAGTCCTTCAGGGTCTCAGGCCTCCTGGGCACACTCCTGAACGAACGCCCCCACCGCAACCTTTCGGCGCCGCTCGGGTTTCTTGGCTCGGCGCTGGACGGCCCTGGCGGCGCCTCCAGCGCCGACTCAAGAAAACCGCGCGGACATCCGAAAATCTTGAAGGGGAACTGGGACACACAAATAAATACACACAAATAAAAATATTCCCAATAGTTTCACATATTTCCTGGGTTTTTGTCTTCCCCCCCACTTCCCATATTTTCCCATATTTTCTGGGGAATCGACGATTAATTGTGTCTGTGTGTTTCTTCCCCTCCTGATTTTGGTCCTCCGAGCACCACCAGGTTGCTCTCGAAGCACTGCACGGTGGCCACCCGCCCGGAGAAGCGGCTGCGCCCCCCGAGGTTCGGGCTGGACGAAAGGGGGCATACCAAAGAGGGGGTGGGAGGAGGAGGAGGAGGAGGAGGAGGAGGAGGAGGAGGAGGAGGAGGAGGAGGAGGAGGGGCATACCATGGCGAATCAACTCACGTCACTAATCCCACCAGCCCTCTGGGCGTCGGTGGTTTAGGGCGTTTCCTCATCCACCCCTCCCTCTTCCCCTTCGGGGGGGGGTTTACCACTCCCCCTCCCCCCTCCCCACCGACCTGGACAGGAGGGGCGGGGAGCGGTCAGAGCGTCCAAAACGGCCTCGGCGAGGAAGCCAAAATCATTGATTTTACTATGGTTTTTTCCCGGCGTCTCACGGCGCCTGAGGCAGACATGCATCGAGGATTGGGCCCCTCGGCGGGACCGAAACCAGCTGCATGCAAGATGGCGACCCCCCCTTTCCCTATCTTACAGTCGGACAGGGGTAAGAGATCGATGTCGGCTCGGGGAGGGAGCCCTAGTGTTCTTCGTGTATGTTGGATGTTCCTGTGCATCCTGGGGAAGGGTACCCTTGGATGTCCTGTGTTTTGGCTGGCGGAAGGCATCCTGTTCTTGAGGCATATTCTTCTGGCCTGGTCCGACTCTACCCCTCTCGTCCGGCCCGAGCAGTCCACGAGGCGGGGGCGTGGCGCCAAGGCCCTCACCCACGGCCGCGGCGACCCGGCGGCTGACCCGGCCCTCCGAGGCGGTCACGCTTCTCTCGGCGCGTGCCCTTCCCCCCCCCCTGGGCTTCCCGACGCCCCTCCCTGCTCGTCCTCCTCTTCCTCCTTTTCCTCCACCTCCTCGACCTCCTCCCTCCTCCTCCTCGTTGTCCTCCTCCTCCTCCTCCCTCCTCCTCCTCCTCCCCTCTCCTCCTCCCTCCTCCTCTCCTCCTCCTCCTCCTCTCCTCCCTCCCTCCCTCCTCCTCCTCCTCCTCCCCTCCTCCCCCCTCTCTCCTCCTCCTCCTCCTCCTCCTCCTCCTCCTCCTCCTCCTCCTCCTCCTCCTCCTCCCTCCTCCTCCCCCGGTTCCTCTCTCCTCTCCTCCTCCTCCTCCTCTCCTCCTCGTCCCCCTCCTATTCCTCCTATTCCTCCTCCTCCTCCTCCTCCTCCTCCTCCTCCTCCTCCTCCTCCTCCTCTTCCTCCTCCTCGTCCTTTTCCTCGTCGTCCTTTTCCTCCTCCTCTCCTCCTCCTCGTCCCCTTCCTCCTCCTCCTCCTCGGTTCCCTCGCCCTCCTCCTCCTCCTCCTCCTTCTGGTCCTTCTCCTCCTCCTCCTCCTCCTCCTCCTCCTCCTCCTCTTCCTCCTCCTCGTCTTCCTCCTCCTGCTTCCTCGTCCTCTCGGGGGTTCCTCGACATGCGCCTGGCTCATGGTGCCCCCGTGATTTCCAACCAGGCCCCCAAGGCCTCCAGAGCACCCGCGAGGCCCAGAGTGCCCCCAGGGCTTTAAAATGGAACGGGGGCACGTTGGGCCAGGGGCACCTTGAGCACCTCCCGGCCCTCCTCTCCGGAGGGCCTCGTGTGACCCTGGCCAATTTTTGGCGGCCGCGGGCCGGACAGCGGGTCCTGAACCGACGGTCGCAGAGAAGCGCCGGGGAGGGCGGCACGACGCCGATGGGGACGACCTTAACAACCTCCAGATGCCTGCTTCAGGCGTCCCAGAGCTTTTTGCGATTCGAATTCGGATGGAACGTTTTGCTTGTTGATCAGATTTGGGGGGCCGAGGCCGAGCGCACCTGGAAATATATCCTTAACAGCCTGCTGCAAACTTTCCAGAAACGCCACGATGCGGGCATTTGATACTAGCATCAGGAACCCAGGGTCTGGAAGCTGGCGGAACAACAATTGAAACTTGGTTCGGATATCACCGCCGCCCTAGCCAGATGAGGGATACTCATGAAGCCTCCTTGGCACGTTCCTCAACGAACACCCCCACTGTACCCATTTCTGGGCCATTGGGGGGACGGAGGGGTCCAACATGGCCCGATATGGTTCCAAAATGGCCCCCTGTGCTTCAAGATGGCCTCCAAGATTGCTCCAGAGGGTCGAAGGATGTTCGTAATCGCCTCGAACATAGTTCCGAGAGGCCGCAAGATGGCTCAAAGAAATTACTTCTGCCCCTCCCTAAAGGCCCCCCCCCCGATGCGGGCAAACATCGTCCTCAAACTTCCGGGTCGGGCGCGTGATTGTTGCTTCATCGCCCTTTCGCCTCTGTTTGGGCTCTCTGCCTCTGAAGTCCCGAAACGGCCCCAAGACGGCCAGAAAAGGCCGGAAGAGGAACCGCAGGCAGACTCGAAGTCGGCCCAGGTACAGTCGGGGCGTTGACCTAAGGAACCCTAATAAGGAACGAGGCCCCTTTTGTCCATAAGTTAAACTTCGATTTCCTGTCGAAAACAGAAGGGAAACCTGAGGCAAGCTGCGAAACAATCAAGGAACACGGAGCCCCTCCCCAACGAAAAGGGTTCCTTCTTCAGGGCCCCGACTGTACCCGCAACCCCTGGCCAGGCCATTCCTGGGCCCACGAGCGGCGCACGCGCCCCCTCGGCTGTTGGACGGGGTGGCAACGCACACCGCTCTTGGGCCCGGGATGTGGGCCTCGCCAGAACAGATGGATACGTGTCGACACCGTCGTTCAGACGAAGACGACGATGACGACGACGAACACGACGGCGACGACGACGACGACGGCGACGACGACGACGACGGCCACGACGACGACGGCCACCACGACGACGCCCACGACGACGACGACGACGACGACGACGACGACGACGACGACGACGACGACGACGGGGAGTCGGGGACGACGACCACGGGGTGCATTACAATCAGAAGGGTCTGAATGCCCCAGGCGGGGCAGGAAATTTATCATGATGCACCACCCCTGCAGGAAGTAGAGCCTCTGAAAGGGCACCCTGCGGATCAATACCTGGCGGCAGGGCACATATATAACACAACACAATCAAGCAAAACGCGATATCTTTCATCTCTCGTCGTGAACGGAGGCGGCGAGCGGGCAGGGGCCCCTGGACGGGGGCCCTCGTCAGCCGAAGGCCGGGCGGCGCGGGGCGGCGCCACGGCGCCCGGCAGCCGCGCAGGCGGCGGCCTTCCGGGCACGGCGAGCCTCGCCGATGGCCTACGTGCGCTCCAACATCTCGTCGGTCGGCGCCAGGCACCAGCTGCTCTTTGTCATGCGCTCGAACAGGCAGCCGCGCTCGGACTCCGTCTCGGTGAGCGCGTCGGCAAACATCAGCTTGGCATCGAGCCGCCAGGCGCTACGCTTCCAGTCGACCCTGTCACGGTCGTCCTTGCTCACGTGGGCATGGCCCGTGTACCCTCGAATCTAAGCCATCAAGATGCGGACCCTCTTGTCGTGAGGCTGGCTCCCGCCCTTCTCGAGGCTCGATGAACAGACCGCCAGCGTCCGTTATTACTGCGATCGCCGTGCCGTCCACGAACGGGTCGAAGTTCAAGCTGGTGAACTTGGCGTCCAGGATATCCTCGATCACGTGCTCGGAAATCTGCGCACTCGGCCGTCGTCAGGAATCGGTTGCACCCTGCAGGCGAAGATCCACGGCGAACTCGCTCGATGGCAGCACTGGCCCATTCCAAGATGTCGATGCACGCGGGAACGTCGTCCAGCAGTTTCGTGTCAGCCAGGCCAACTTGGAAGCCGCGCTGCGATCTGATCGCCCACTCTGCCGCGGCAACTGTCGCCGCAACCGAACACGATCGCCTCGCCCCAGCCGCGTTCAGAAGTGAATGTGACCTTGAAGTGTCTGTTGTCCCGGACCACCTTGATCGCCTGGTTGACATTCACGACGTCGCGAAGCCTCAGGTTGCCCATGCACTCGGCCCCGAAGGACGCGTGCGCTGACAGGCCAGGTCGGGTCTGGCGAGCGCCCCAGCCGAGCGAAGCAAATCCACTTCATATTCGCCCAGCGATCTCCTCTGGGACCAAGGGCGAGTTGGGCTGCTTTCTGCTTCCTCTGGCGCGGATCGAGGCGGGTGTACTCCAGCGCGCCCGCGGCCCCCGAGTGGCCGATCTCGATCTTGAGCGCGTCGTCCTGCGCGACGCACCTATCGCAGTGCCTGGGCTAGCCGCACTTCGAGGTCAGGCGGATCTTGATTTTGATCTTCTCCACGACGCCGTCAAACTCGTGGCCCGCGCCCGCTGCAAACAGGTCGTCGACGCGAGCGCATCGCAGGCCGATGGGCTTGCCGGGCTCGTCCCTAAACATAAACAGGAAGAGCTCTTCAAGTGGCTCCTTGCAGCCGCGCTCGGTCAGCGTTGCAGGCGCATGTAACCGCCACTGGCGCCGGGCGTTTTTCGCGCCGTACGTGGCGCCTCTCGCTCGCACGGGCGCTCCGTCTGGAACTCCCAGCGGCGGCGGCCTCGGAGCCCCGAGGGTCGGCGCGCGCTCGGTCCCCCTCGACTGTAAGTAGGCCGCGGCCGCGCCAGCTGCGGCGACCCTCCACTGGCCCGATGCGGCGCAGCTCGCTACCGCGCGGGGGGCGAGCAGGCAGGCAGTAGGAGCACCACCTCGCATGCCGAGGCCGCGTCCATGGCGGCCTTGAGCCACCAGACGGCTCTTGGCAGACCAAAAAAAAACATGTCGTGTGTAGTCTGGCGTGGCCCGCACTGCTTGGCAGTCCTGTTGGTGCGCGCCCACGTCGTGCTAACTGGTTGGGTCCCCTGCTGGATGGGGATCGCGACCCGGTTGGCGTCTAACACTTCCACTGCTTGAATCTCTTGCCAACTACGCCACTCCTAGCCCATGGCTTCGTCGAGCTCCTGACGCAGCACTGGCGACAAGTTTTGCAGCCTGGTCGGTCGGCCGGCCCCCGCGGTGAGGTGACCGAACTTCCCCCGAACGTTGCTGCCGGCGCCCTCGTCATTATTCACGAAGAACCAAGATCGTCTCGATGGCCTGAACCTCTGAAGGCAAGGCTGCACGTAAACTGTGGCGTCCGAGCGGTAGGCCGCGAACGTCGAGGTCCTGGATGACCCCATCCAGTCTCGATGTCCTTCGCGATGCGACGCAGCACCATGGGCAATCGAGGTCCGCGCGCGTCTGCAAGGATATAGCGCGCGCTGCCGCTGCCCGCGCCGCGCGTCTCCACTCGTAGGCGCTGGCGCCGTCGACCGCTATAGTCGCCGAAATAGGCCTCGTAGAGACACTCCTCAATCACGCTGGTCTCCTGGTCCTCGCGGGCCTGGAAAGACCCGGGCGTGTTCGCAAGCATCTCACCGCCCTGCCAAGCAGCGTCTCGCTGTAGTGCCTGCTGGAGCGGCATGCGCTCAGCACCCCTGGGGCTGTCGAGCTCTGGGCAATCCCGAGGCAAACTGGCCGCTGTCTGTGGCGTCGCCTCCGTAGGCTGCGGACTCGATAGTGAAGCGTCCCGTCGCGGGAGGACGCTGTGGCCACCCGGTCCAAGCGAAGCAGCCAAGTGCGGGCCCAGGTGTGGTTCCTCCTGGCACAAGCCCTTTGTGACTGGCTGGGTCAGCGGCCCCTCCGAGGCCGAGGAGTTGGGCATGGGATTGCCACTCTCTGGAGGCGGTGGAGAAGCAGGCTCCTCTCTATCATCCCGATCGAGATCTTTATCGCCATCATTTGTATGACCGCTTCCAACATAATCATCATCCGAATCATCATCACCATCATCATGATCATCATCATCATCAACATCATATTGCGGCTGTAGTTGTACTGGTAGCGGGCCCCCTACGTCTCCATGCGGCGGTGGATGAGGCATGAGGGCTACTGGCTCTGGAACTTTGGGCGCAATTGATGGCGCGGGCGTTCTGGGCGCCGCTCCGCGACCGCTGCCGCGCCCCTCGCGAGCGGGCGCTCAACTTGGAGGATCGGCTGCCGCGTCGGCGCCCGTGCTGATGCCGATGCAGTTGCGGGTGCCGTCGGCGGCCATTATGTCCAGCAGATCGTGCTTGGGGTAGGTGCACATGGTCCGCAGCTCGTTCTCGGAAGCGAATCGAAATTCTCATGGCGCCACCAGTGCTGTAGTGTGTCCATATCGCAGCCAAACTGCATGTACGTCGGCACCGGTAGTTTTGGCGACGTCTTCGAACAGGTGCTTCGGGTCCCGGGTCTGGTGCGCGATGAACCTAGCAGGGCCGCGCCAACGATGCCATATGTCCGATCTAGCGCATGTTCGCACTTGGGCGCGTCTTGAATGCACGAACGAGCCGATGGAAAATGGCTCTCTGCTTTGACGCGACTTGCGAAGGACCCCTCGTCGAGTTCGCTCGTCGGCGCCCTCGCGGACCCACGCAATGCGAGTCGCTTCGCGCATGGCCATGGTTTGGGCCATGGCTGCCTGGAGGCCGCTGCAAGCCTCCAGGGCCTCCATGGCCTCCAGACTACCTGGTCCTCGTGGGCAGTGGGGGGCCTAAAACCCACTGCGACGAAGAAAATCACCCCCTCTTGCTGAGCCCTTTCCTGACCTGGGTGACGATCGTCGCGGTAGACTCGGCGGCCTAGAGCCTCGCGACGTGGGGTTCCTGGACTGCGCGTCGCCAGACCTCCTGCCAGATGCCTCCAGGTCGCGCGCACTTGCTGACGGCGTGGGGCGTCTCGAGGGGCGCCAGACCCATCTCTCCCCGTGCGTCTTGACTGCGTCGGCGAGCCCCTTCGCCCACCCCTTGCTGAGGTCGACGGCGACCTTCTTGGGGCAGCCTGCCCACGACGCCCAGCGCGCGTTGAAGGCATCAGCGGCGGCCCTCGCTGACGGGATCCCCTTAGCTGGGCCCAGGCAGAAAGACAACATTGGAGTTCGCCCCCTCGCGGATGATGCTCGGGAAGAAGGGGCCGCCGCTAACGTCGGGCGCGGGGAACGCGCCAAGCTGGATCGCGCAGTCGCGGGCGAGCCCCCCCAGGCGATATGATCCCCGCGGGCGTCGCATGAGAAGCTCTCGACGTGCTGCGAGATCTCCTTCTTGACGCCGCGTCGCTTTAACCACCGCGTGAGCGAGGCGCTCGCGCGCGTGGTGGAAGTTGACGTGTAGCTGCCGCGTGGCCTTCTGTACATGAGGAGGAAAACTGCAGCTGCTTCTGGCGTCGCTACTCCTCCTCCATGCTGAGGATGGGCGAAATATTTCCCGCGCTTTCCTGTCGCTCTCCGCCTGGGCCGGTCGGCCCCCGACGCGCCCCGGGGGCCCGATCCATCTCCTGACCGCCCGGGACAGAGCCCGAAGGCACAGGCTGCGCGTCGGCGCGACTCGGGCGCGCGCACGGCGCTCGGCCCCCGCGGGGCCCTATAGATCTGGGACTTACTGCCCCTCGACGACGACGGGGTGCTGCGCGTCGGCCTCCAGGGCGTTGCCGGCGATGGCTTGCTGCAGCGCGGCCTCGGCCGCGACCGCGCCCAGCTCGCTGGGCCGCTCGGCGGCCCAGGCGGGCAGAGAGCCGCGGGAGTTCTGGCCCTTGAGCTGCTCGTGCTTGGGGCAGCCCGCGCAGCGGGCGTCGTCGTTCGCGCCGATCAAAGCTAGATGCGCATGGGCATCATGTCGGGCAGGCCGCCCCCGCAGTCCTGCCGTCGAAATTGGCCGCCTCGAGCGCCCCCTCGTCGATCGCCCTACTGGCGCCGCCCACCTCGTGCTGACCCCAAGCTTCCGAGCCCCAGCGGTGCTCCGTGACTGCGTGCCCTCGGAACCCTGCGGGCCACGGACTGGTTTGCCTGGGCCAGGATGGGTCGGTGAGCCCCCCGGTTCTTCTCGATCCTCTCGGCGAGCTCGCAGTCGTCTTGGCCCGCGTCGAAGCGGCCCCAGTTGCCCCGTGGCGAGCACGGGTGCGCGACCACAGAACAGTAGGTCTCCTCGTCCAGGATCTGCCGGTCGCACATGCGCTGGCCGCGCTGGGTGGCGGCGCCCCGGTCCGCGCGCATTGTCGAGCGGCGCGCCGACGTTGGGGCCCGTGGTCGACGCGTGCATCGGGGCCCCCATTGGACCAGCGGGCGTCTGCTTAGGGCGGCAGCCCGGCGGCAGCCTAGCTCGGTTCGGCGCCCTGAACAAGTTTACCTTGACAGCGTCGCTGGCGTTGGCGACCTTCTGCGCCGAAGCTTCAACCTTCCCGGCCTGACTGTTGGAGAGCTTGCGGCAGCCCCCCGCTCCAAAACCTCGGCCACGAACGCATCGGGCCCCGTGTCGCCGTTCACTATGGAGCAAGTGAACGCGCCCTCTGCGTCGGTGCCCCCGCTGGGCACGTCCGCGAAATAATTGCCGCTGAGGTCAGTGGGGTCGCCCATCGTCTCGGTTTCGACTGAACAGAACTGCGCGGGGAACTGCTCGTGGACCTCCTCGCCGGCAGCAGCCCGCTCGAAGGCGCCCCATCCCTGCGCGGCCAGGCGAACTGCGGCGTTGCTCGGGGCCGCGGGCCCCGATGTCGCTGAAGTCGACGGCGTCGCCGTTCCTATCCAGGTGGATGGCGGCCCCGGGCTCCGCGGGCGCATCCTTGCTCAGCAACGTCGGGTAGTCGCGGCTGGCGTCGGGGACCTCGTCGACCTCGTCGACGTAGGAGGGCGCGTGCCGACGGCCACCGGGAAGACGACTGCCCCGCTGCCCTTCGCCCTCCCGCCACCTCCCTCGAAGGCGCGGCTGGCCTCAACAGCGGTGAGCTCGCGGCGGGCCAGCGGGCGCTCGAGGCGGCAGCCCCAGCGCGCGCCGCGCATCGCCCGCGTCGAGGTCGTCCTCGCCGTCATCCTCGCAGCTGTCATCGGGCGCGACCATCATGACAGCGCAACCCCGGTGGGGCGCGTGATCGGGCCGGTGGGTGCTCGGGCGCGCGGGGGTCGTGAGATGGCCAGCGTTGACCTCCATCCAGCCGCCGCCGCCATCGCTGATCCGATACTTTTCCATATCGATCCGCTGCTTCGGGTCGGCGTCGACCCTGCCGCGGGCCGCCCGCGGGGCGCCGCGGAGAAAACAGCCGTGGCGGTGGAGTCTTGCATGTGCGGGGTCGTCCATCTGGATATCCTCGCCCCACTTGCTGTAGCGGATGAGCAGCGGCGCCGGAGAACTTGGCCCCCCTGGTGAGCCCCGCAATCGGTGATCTCGCTGGGGCCTGGCATTGGGCCCAGCTCGCAATCGCAGTCAGGGTAGACAGGCTGCTTCTTCGCGTTGCTGAGCGGGCAGCCGTAAAGAAACGCGAGATCCACGGTCATGTCCCGCGGCTCTGGGTCGGCGCCGGCGGCGTCAATCTCGCGGGGCTCGACCCCCCCCCCCCATTGGCTTCGCGGCGGGCCTGGGCGGCCCGTCCATGACAGGGGCAGGCTCGATCTGCCCCCTGGCGCCATGCGCCGAGGCCGACTCCGATCCCGAAGACAGCCGCGTCGTCCCTTGGGCCCTTCTGCAGGCAAATGCCGCCGCTGCGGCGGCGCCCGATCGTCGCGCCGTTTTGACGGGCGCTGCTGCTGCTGCCGTCGCCGGGCCGCCGCCCTCGATCATGTCGCGGAGGGGGGGTTCTCGCCACTGACCTGTACGATTGCGCCAGGCCGCCGCGCGCAGGACGGAAGTCGCGTGCTTCCGCGGGCCAGGGTGCCCCCCGTGATCGGCGTCCGCGAGGTGCATGTCGCACTCGCTGCGCTTGGTCTACCTGCAGGTGACGCTGTCGCCCCCCTCTCGAGCAGGTTCTTGTCCCTCAGGGAGCGGCGGGCGCGCTCCCGTGAGCACCTCCAGGTCGCGCCCCTGGTAGTCGCCGTCGCCCTGCAGGGCGAAATAGCTCCACCCCGACTTCTTCGGACCTGCCAGTGGCGACCGGTTGCCCTTCTGCTCGGGGCAGGTCGCGTCGCCCTGCCAGCGGCCGAACTCCATGCAGTCCGAGCGCTGGGTCTTCTTCTTGAGCTCCTCGACGTGCCTTTGGCGGGCTTGGCGCCGTCGGTCGCCGAAGCCCTGGTTCGAACTGCTACTCCTGACTGGCCCAGGCCGCGGCGATCCGCGACCTCGACTCCAGGCTGCCCCCCGCGATCCGCCGCGTGAGCTGCCCCCCCGCGGGGGCGGCCATCGGCGCCCCTGCCGTGGAACAACTGGCAGACGCGCTTCGGCGGCCTCCGCTTCTCGTTGAAGATTTTGTCGCGACTCTGCATGGCCAGGGCGAGCGCCTCGCACTCCTCTGGGGGCAGGTCGCCGACGTTGGCGTCGGCCAGGTAGGCGTCGAGGTCGCTCCCTTCCTCCTCGCATCTCTCGTAGTTGCCGTCGTCGAACTCCTGGCCGTCCTCGACGTACGCCTGGTCGCCCAACTCGCTGCCAGCGCAGTTGCGGTCGTCATCCTCCGCGACGGAGTCGAGGCAGGACCGTTCTCGTCAATATTGGCGTCGATCTTGTTGGCGATGCATCGCGGGATACTGCGCTCTGACCTCGTACCTTATGCCCACGATGGTCCACTGATCGTTGCTGCTGACTAGTACTGCGGTTTGTTCATTCATGCTCATACCAGAAATACGTAATACAAGAGCGGTGCTAATGTCTTCGCTGACGGTAATGTCTGAGCTGGCCTCCTTCAGCTCGGCGAACTCATTGCGGCGTCGTGCCACGTAGTTGGCCATTGGCTTGTCTCTTCCGCGCCAAACGGTACTGCCGTACAGAGCCGCGTCGAAGATCTCCGTCGTCCGAACTGGCGCAATCTCTTGAACGTCCTTCTTCAGCCCCGTCAGTAACAACAGAATTACATCGCCAACGGCATTGCCTCTTTCATCTGGTGTCAGGAGGTCTCCGTGCTTGAGTTTCCGTACCGCTTCGTCTGCTGGGCAGCTGAGACCTGGGCGGAGGTGTGGCGCAAAGGCTTCTGTCCAGGTCGACCTTCTTGGCCGTAGTAGAAGGCCCAACAGCGCTCAACATACTCTGTGAAATGCTCTGGCCTGCCGTCGTACTGTGGGATGCCGGCCCTGTCCATCTCAACTGACATCTCCCAGACCAAGGGGAAAACGAAGATCAGGATGAAGGCGCAATACAGGAGGTCGCCGAAGAGGTGGTGGTTCGCGCCCGTCCTGGCGGCGACCTGGGGGTGGGCGCGCGAGCTGCCCAGCCGCCCCCGTGGTCGCTGGGGTTGAAGCCCTCGGCGGGGCGGCGGCGCACGGCGGCACCGTGGCGCTCCGCGGCGCCTGCGGTTCGGCGGCTGCTGGGGAACCGTGCTGCGGCGCGGCGGCGCGCTGAAGCGCCCACGGCGGGGCGCAGCGCGATAGGAATCGGAACCGATCAGGCTCCGCTCACCATCTGACTGCCCCAGGCGGGGCAAGAAAATGATAATGACGATTCATCCGTTCGAACCTGAAAGCGCGCCCTGCGGATCAGTACGATGCGCGGGGCACATATAGAACATAGCACAATCAAGCAAACCATGCCATCACTATTACAAAAAAATGCGTCCTGAACCCCAGCGAGAGATTTCCACGGCCGTGGCCATATCGTCCCAATTATTTTCACCTCCCTCTTTGCCGCCCCCGAAGGACAACCACGACCAGAGAGCCTCAGAACCCATCTTTCTGCGGCACTGTTCGAGCCTTCTCGACATGGGGGAACGCGTCCTGCGGGAAGCAAGACCTGGACCCCGGAGCCTTCTTCTAGGACGAGGTCTTCATCCAGAGTCGTTTCCTGACAGTCCCGAGGCCCGTGGAGTGCTCTGGGAGCCCGAAAACAAGGAACAACCTCAGAAACCGTTTCCCTCAGGACCCGCTTCCCCCATAGCGAGTACCGATGTGTGACGGTGCCGGGCCCCGAAGCCAGGCAAAGACGCCCAAAGCTCGAATAATGAAACAAATTGTCGCAATTGTCACAAGCAGAAGCTTTGGATGCTCCGCGCGGACTTCCTGCTCCTGCGCTGGACCCCCCTCTCCCTGGCGCGCCAGGGCGCGCCAGGGCGGTGCCGCCAATGGGAGGCCAGCGCAGAGCCGAGAAATCCGCGCGGAACTCCAAAATATCATGCTGATGCCATGCTCTCCGGGCTTTGGCAGGAGTAAGCTCAGCGTGACCTGGTTCAGTGATGTGAACCGGGGGGTGCCCCCCCCCTCGCCCCATCCCACTAACCAGAACTGCCGTCACCAGGAAAAACACCAGCTGCGGCAGGCCTGGTCCAGTGATCCCAATCAATATTTTGGTAATTCGGGGCCCAATCACTAGCTGGCTCCCCTTCTCCGGAGTCCTTCTCTGGGGTCCGTCGTGCATTTTTCAAGACGTCGACCCCCAGAGGTCTGAATCCTGAATCCTTTTTTGACCGTCCTGGGGCCCGGTGAAAGCCCCCCGGGGGCCGAACATGGCCAAACAGCTCTCGTCGCGAGCTTTGTTCCCCGACACGTTCGTTTGGACGCCCGAAATGGGTACGGAAAAAATGGGCACAATGCCCAACTGCAAATGTTGTCTCGGGGATGGACAGACCCCCCTTTAGTAAAATGTGGTTTAGTGGAAACGACCTGAGGCCCAAACCTGGCGGGCGCAAGCCTGGAAAATAACGGCCACGGCGCCATCTCGAGAATCGAAAACGGACAATTCACTAATCGACGTGTCACTGTTGGGGGTTCTGTCCACCCCCGATTGTCCCAAACCAACAGCGGCCGCTGTTGGGCCTGCGGCCTTCTGTCTCGAATTGGCACAGACCGCGGCGGCGTGGACAGCGAGTCCGGTTCAAAATCAGCAAAAACTGCGGTTGGGCATTGTACCCATGTTCGGGGCCCGAATCTCGGGTCGGGCGAAAGGGGGGGATAGCAAAGGGGGGGTTTGGGAATCAGCTCACGCAGCTGATTTTCCCGGCGCCTCCCGGCGCCGGAGGCGACTCTGTATCGAGGAATGGGCCCCTCGGTGGGGCCGAAACCAGCTGCATGCAGCAAATTTCGTACCCCTTTCGTCCGGCCCGAGAATCTCCGCCCTGATGGTCCGCTACCGAAAATTTCCGGTAGCGCTCCGCAGAGATCGGTCGCTACCGAAATACCGAAATGTAGCGCCCAATACTGGTATCAGACCGTTCTGAAATCCGCTATTTCAACGCCCTCAAACGAAGATCCGGTCGCTACCGAAATTCGGGGTGCGTCGAAATCGCTACCGAAAATTTCCGGTACCAGACCATCTGGGCGGGGCGAGGCCCGCGAAGGCGACGCCGTCGGAGGCCCGGGGGGACGTCCCGGCGGGCCCCGTGCGGAGGGCGTCGCAGGCGTGCACGTCCCCGAGGAACAGGTCCGCGAGGTCGGCCGTCCCCGCCCGGCTCAGGTCCTGCGGCAACTCCGAAGGCGCCCAGGGAACGACACGCACACCAACACACACACACACACACACACACACACACACTACACACACTGCAAACACACACTACACACTACACACACACACTGCACACTACACACACACTACACACACACTGCACACACGCACACACACACACACTACACACACTACACACACTGCACAAACACTACACACACACTGCACACACGCACACACACACACACACTACACACACTACACACACTACACACACACACTGCACACCCACACACACACATACACACACAGACACACACACAGCACACACAGACACCACACACACAACACACACACTACACACACAACACTACACACACACACACACTACACACGCAAACACTGCACACGCACACACACACACACACACACACACACACACACTACACACACACACAACACACTGCACACACACACGCACACACGCACACACACACACACTACACACACACACTACACACACACACAGACACACAGACACACACTACACACACACTGCACACACACACTGCACACACGCACACACACACACACTACACACACTACACACACTACACACACACACCACACACACACAACACACACACACACTACACACACACCACACACACACACTACACACAACATGCACACACACACACCACACACACACACACACACACACACACTACACACACCACACACACACACACACTACCACACTGCACTCACGCACACACACACACACACTCACACACTACACGCACTGCACACCCACACACACACCACACACTACACACAGACACACAGAACACAGACACTGACACACACACATACACACACACACACACACACACTCACACACACACACACACACACACACACACACACACACACTACACACACTGCACACACGCACACACACACTACACACACTACACACACTGCACACCCACACACACACACACACTACACACAGACACACAGACACACAGACACACAGACAGTGCACACACACACACACACTACACACTACACACACTACACACACACTACACACTACACACTACACACTACACACTACACACTACACACTACACACACCACACACCACACACCACACTACACGCTAGACACTAGACACTACACACTACACACTACACACTGCACACTGCACACTACACACACACTGCACACTGGGCTCATCCAACTGGGCTCGCACCCCATCTCGGGACACCTCCTCAATACTGATAAGCAAGAACAGTACCCTAATCCTTTGGGAGGGGACCTAAGTTCGGAGGGCCAGAAACATTAGGAATAAGGGGGCCATTACTTGCAGATGTCACATAGGAAACCACCCACATGCTCAGGGATAGCCCTAAGAACCGAGGACCCGAGATGTGCCACGAATCCATTGTGTTCGTAGGGTTAAGGGATCTATGATGCGTAATGATATTGACCTACGGCCCCCGATAAATGCGGAGCTGCGAAGACGCATCCAAAGCTTGCACGATTTTCCGGCATCCACTGACACCGATCAATCCAAATCTGGGCCAGTCAGTCCTGGCAGGATCACGCAAGATCCTGCAGGATCCTGCACCCAAGCCTGGATCAATGAACCCTGGCTCTGCAGGACCTGCAAGCTCCGGCGCTCTGACTGACCCCCGTTTGATGGGCTTGCTTTCCACCACCACCACCACCACAATAAGTTGGATGTGGAAGGAGGTGGAGGATGAGGAGGAGGAGGAGGAGGAGGAGGAGGAAGAAGAGGACCTCCTCCCCCAACTACTACGGTGGTGGCGGTGAAAAAGCAAGCCCACCACCCTTTGCATTGACCCCCCGTCTAAAACAGGGCTAGGATCGGGATAAATCGCTCCAGAGCGTTCCGGAGCGCTCTCAGAGCGTTCCGGAACGCTCTGGAGCGGCCGCGGCGCCCAATACATCCTCCAAACCCGCCGACTCTCAGAGACTTCGAGTCATCCCGATCCGATTTTGTCCCGATCTTCGCGCCAATTTTACCGTCCCTTGAGCACCGAGATTTGCCCTCGACCTCCGGTCCGGGGGCGGGTACCCGCCGCAGTCGCCGCCCGCGCCCGCGCCCGAGCACGGCCGGCCCCCGCCCCGCGGCGCGGTGGCAGCGGGACCTGGGCGGGTCGGGCGCTCTCGCGGCGCGCGCCGCGGCGGCGGCGCCGGCGGCCGCTGCGGCAGGGCTCGCGAGGCGTCGGCACGCGCAAAGGTTTTCGACACCGCGTCGACCTTGCAAAAAAAAAAACCTTGAACGAAGGATTGCAAAAAAACCCAGGATTGCAAAAAAACCCAGGATTGCAAAAAAAAAAACCCTGGATTGCAAAAAAAAAAACAGGATTGCAATCCTTCGGGTTTTTTTTACAATCCTGGGTTTTTTTGCAATCCTGGGTTTTGTTGCACCCCTGAATCGATCGCGGCCCCAATCGTTCAGGGCCGAATTCTGTCGGGTCCCGTGGCGTTGCTGCGTCCCTCGGTGCCTCCGCGTCGTAGGGGTTCAACCTTGAGCTCCTTCGCCGCCGTCGCTGGCGCGCCAACGCCACGCGAACCTACCGTACGGGGATAGAGGCCTCACAGATGGGGTCTGAGTAGATGTGGTGGAAGGATCGCGCCGCATCGCCGATGCATGGACGAGGCATTGGCGACGTCTGCGGTGCATCGGCGACGCTGGCGTAAAGAAATTCGGGTTCCACATCGAGCCTCATCGCCGATGCATCAGCGATGTGGCGCGATCCTCCGACCCAATCTACTCCGACCCCATCCAGGAGGCCTAGAGGTGAGGTGAGGGCGCTAGATAAGGAACCATTGGACAAAGAGCCCAGGGTCTGGAAGCCCGTGGAACACCGCCCGAGGCTTGGCCATGTATACCACCGCCGCCCGAGTCGGAGAAGGGATCCCTCAGGGCCTGAAGCCTCCTGGGCACATGACACTCCTCAACGAACACCCCCCCCCGTATGCCCCGCGACCGGATGGCGTGTCGCTCGGCTCCGCGGGGAGGGAGGCTCGGAGAGGCTCTGGACGCTGACGCCTGGCGACGGGAAAGCGGTCCGCGGGTCGCCCCGGAGCGCGGTGGATCAGAACCGTCGGCGCGACGCGCTGCGCCAGACCTCCCGACCGTAGGTCCTGGGTCTCCGACGCTACGATGGTTGTTTAAGTCTCGGCGGTCTCCTGCGGTTGCGGCTTCTGGGCCCCGTGGTGCCATCAAACGGAGTGCGTCTGGGGTGGATAGCTGGCCCCAGGGAACGGACATCAAGCCCCGCTGGGGGATCCCGATCCGAATACGTTTTGGACAATACGAGATGTCCCGAGTATGCATGCGTGCTTCACGCCTTCTTTGCGTACCTGTCGTTCCTCTTGTTTTCTTCTCTTTTCCTTCGCATGTCCCCATATGTTCCTTGACTGTATCCCTCTCCTGTCCAAAGTTTCTCAATTCTTTCTCTTCGCCTGCCCCCCATTCCTCCTATCATCCTTTCTTTGTCATTACACCTGCGTCCTGCAATTCAGTCCGCGCTCTTTCCTCCTGACATCCGCCCTCTTTGTTTGGAGTTGCCGTCGTCGTTGCTGTCGCCGGTGTTGGAATCGCCGCCGTCGTCGCCGCCATCGTGGCAGTCGTCAGCCTCTTGGCCTTCCGGACACTGGCGATCCTCAACGCTGCAACTGAAGGGTCTGGGAGAACATGTGGATTATCGGCTGCGGCAAATCTTGCGAGCACTCGAATCGTGATATATTAAATGGCTGCCCACTTCTACGGCAACTTAGCACAAACACAACTTGCTGCGTTTATCCGGCAGTATAGATCTACACACATTATAGCCACGCGCGCGCTACGCGCGCGCTAAGGTTCTAGCCGACCGTGCCGCCGTTGTCAATGGACCTTGCGCTCATCCGCGATGCCCAGAATACCAAAGAGGAGAGGCCCCTAAGAACGGGCCGCTCTTGGCGTGTGGAGGTGCTTGGCGTCCCGGGGGATGATAACCTCAGGTTCCCCGGGCGGTCGCGGAACCGTGCGAGATGGACGTGCGACGCGTCGGAAAGCTCCGTACCCCAGATTTCGTAATAAAAGGGAGGGGGTCTGGACCCTCCAAGACAAGCCATTTCAGACCTCCCCCGTGGGAGAACCCTCCAAAACATCGTCCCCAGACCCCCCAGGCCCTCCAAGATAGCCTGGAAGAGACCCCCCCCCCGAAATGAGACCCCCCTCCCTTTATTACGAAATCTGGAGTACCCTCCCCAGACTGCGCAAATGACGCGGCTGCCACGGTGGCCGAAGAGAGCCCCAGAGGCTCCAGACCGCCAGGCCGCTGCCGCCGCCCCCGCGGCCGCCGCCGCCGCGGCCGCCGCGGCCGTCGTGATGATCCTCGGGGTGGTCGTCGCAGTGGCTGTGGTGGTGGTCGTGGTGGTGGTCGTGGTGGCGCCCTCTTTCGAGTGGTCGTCGTGGTCGTCGTGGTCGCAGTGGCTGTGGTGGTGGTCGCTGTGGCGCCCTCTCTCGAGATCCGCTAGGACTGCGCCCACTGTTCGACTCTGCGCTGCGCGCGCCGTGACTGCCCACGACGCCGTGAGCACGCGCTGCGTGCGCTTCACACCCAACAGAGGATGCTTCCGAGACCCCTCCAGGAACCACTGGCGCCTCCCCGACGGCAAGGGCGGACATGCCTCGCTCCATCCCCTCCCTCCACTCCCATCACCCTTCCTTCTGATCCCTCCTCCCTCCATCCGTCCCTCCCCTCCCCTTTTCCTCCCCCCTCCTCCCCGCACTGACGCCCGCTGGCGGAACAAAAACAACGCGATGGGAAGGGATGGGAGGGAGGGGTAGGGTGTCTGATGTGGCGCGGGCGCATCTGGCTTGCCCCCTGTACCCCATGGGACCAAGGGGCCGAGCCCAGTGCCGCCCGGTGCACGGGAGCTTCCGCTGGGCTCGGATGGCCCAGGGCGGCGCGAGAAGCGCAGCGAACGAATCGGGTCGGGTGCTCGTGAATAGGGGGGGCAATCACCACGCCCGAGCGAGAAGCGCAGCGATTGGGCCCTCCTCCTCCTCCGCCTCCTCCTCCTCCTCCTCCTCCTCCTCCTCCTCCTCTTCCTCCTCCCTCCCTCCCTCCTCCCTCCTCCCTCCTCCCTCCTCCCTCCTCCTCCTCCTCCTCCTCCTTCTCCTCCTCCTCCTCCTCCTCCTCCTCCTCCTCCTCTTCCTCCGCCTCCTCCTCCTCCTCGCGGATCGAGGCGGCGGGGCGGGTCTGGGAGCGGGCGAGGAGGAGGCGCCCCGGGCACGAGGGGAGGCCGCCCTCGCCGGGGGCTGGGTTCAGGGTCGGCTAGACACGTGTTACCATCGCAGCGGAGCCCAGCGGCAAGACGAGGGAACGACGGACGAAGACGACGACGACGGCGGCGACGACGAGGGAGAGAAGGGCAAGGAAGGGCGAGGGGGCAAGCGCCCGCGCCCGCCTGGCCCTGCAGGGCAAGATCGGCTAGACACGCAGGGGCAGCCCCAGGCAAGGGTGGACTCTGCTGCACGGCTTGAGGGGGCTGCGGGGAGGGAGGAAGGCGGACCCGAACGCGCGAGCCAGAGCCGGGGGGGTCCTCCTGTCCGTTCTCCTCTTCCCTGCGGCTCCTTTTTTGAACTGCGACGTGTGCCTGCAGGCGTGCTCTGGAACGCGCTGTGCATTGTTGCGTTTCGCGGTGAAGCGGATCCGATTGGGTCGACTGGACCCTCTAAGGACTGTCCCAGAGCAACCACACCAGGTCCCCGGCGGCAGAAATGCGGGAATCGCCCACGGCAGCCTCCAGGAAGCCCAAGATGACATCGAACTGTGGCGGGTTCCGGCGGAGCCCAAGACAGGTTCCAACTCGGAGCTTTCGAGGGCCTCCAGGGGGCGGGCTCTGGGGGCTTCTTGGGACCGTCTCGAGAGCCTCCCAGGCGCCTCTTTGGGGCCGGGAGGGCTGTTGGCATCCCTATTGCTGGAACTGCTCCAACGAGCAGGTGCAGAGGACCGCCTTACTTCAACGCAGTGCGGATTCAGACGTGGACGAGGCACATCAATTGGATTCATATGGCTCGAAGGTCAATCGAGGCGGCTAGGGCGGACAAAGATGGGAAGATTGCATTCGTCGCCCAAGACTGAAGACAGCGTTCGACTCTAGTCTACCAAAATGGGCACGAGGGTTGCCGCCTTGCGGAGGTACGGGGGGCCCCCAAAAATGCTTGTGATCATTGCACACATTTGCGACAATCGCCATTTCTACGTATCTGACGGGCCCCAGGCGTCCAGACAACGGCGACAACGATCAGGAATTGCTCAAGGTTGCCCCCTCTCCCCATTCCTCTTGGTGATGGTCATGGCAGTACGAGGGATGCGACGGAAAAGTTAGGGCCAGAGGCGAGACGACGACACCCTATTGATGGATAAATCCCAGCAGTACTTACAAGAGTTGTTGGATACTGTTTCGTGCGCTGGGGAACGAGCCCATATTGAATTACATTGGGACAAGTTCCACTTGATCCAGATCGGATGCGAAGCTCATTTGCGGACTCCCGACGACCGCACGACCCCTGCCCAAGAACACTTGTCATACCTACGTAGGGGCCACCTTGTACAGCTGAGCTTGCAGTGAACAATCGGCTGGGGCCTGCATGGCCGGAGTTTGTAGGATATGAAAGAGCCTTGAAGCACACAGACTTAGGAAAGAGCAGGAACATCGAAATGCTTCAAGCTCTTCATATAAGCAAGGTCTTGTATTTACTCTCCAGTGCTTGGCTGAACAAATCAGCAAGAAGGATGCTGGATGTTTTCTAAGCCAAGTGCCGCAGAAGAGTTCTGCACATTCCACCTCCTTGCTTGTCGCGCGCGGGCAGTAAGGCCGAGCTGCAGGAGGCCCGGCAAGACCCTTACAGAACCCAGCTTCTGCGACAACAGCTCACGCTGTATGGAAAAATGGGTAGGGCGTCGAGCCAAGATTTTCTTAGACAAGCCACTTTCAAGCCTGACGCTGTTCTCTCTGCCACGGCCGCGCTCACGCGCAACCGTGGTCGACCGCAGAGCGCATGGGCATCGGAGTGTTAGAATGATCTCGCCGAGTTCCAATTCGCATGATTTGCTTCTACAGTGCATACATGACCCTGTACAATGGGATGCCTTTGTATAGCGCCACGCGCAACAGTGCGGCGAGTCCGACGGGCATCTGTGACTTGTTGCGTGCTCTGTTTCCTGCTCCCCCCCTCTTCTCCTTCCTCCCCCCTACCGCGCGCGATGTAAATTATGCGACCGCCGTCGCGCCGCCACTCCCGCAAAGCGGAGAGAACTGGCTGGCATTGCGTTCTGAGTGAGTGCCTTGGACTGTCCTAAGGCGCTCGTGGCCCGTCTGACGCCCTGGGCGGCCATCTTGGGGGATTAATGGGGCCGTTCTGGGGCCTTAAGGCCCTCTAGGACGACTCTTGGCCGTTGTTTGGGCCGTTTGGGGAGCTTGGGGCTCTCTGGGGCCATTAGGGAGCTATCTTAAAAGGCCTGAGAAGCCCATTGTCAACGAAATTACGCAAGCACAGCACCCCAATAGCAGCTAATGTGTGGAGGCGGGTGGGCGCCTGAAACGCCGACTTGCGAGAACGACCTCGTCATATTGTCGATACGATTGCGGAGCTGAACTTGTGGGTGAGGGCGAGGTTCGTGATGTCGATAAGGTAACATGAGCGCGCTTGGAACTGCAGTAGGGACCGAGCGACCCCACTCCTGGCAGCTGGAATGGTGAGAAGCTGATGCCATTGCCAAGCTTTCTCGACTTAGGACAGCGAGAATGCTGAGCTAGAGCACTCCTGGAGAGGTGCACTCCACAGGCACAAACATAAACACACATGGGACTCAAGCCACAGGAGAATGGCAATCCATGGGCGCATCGCAAACACTCCGGATTCAAACGACAAGAAGGAGGCAATCCATAGGCACATTCGTAAATCATGTAGGATTTCGAGCCACGCGAGAGTGGCAATCTATAGGCACATACGTACATCACATAGGATTCGAGTCACACGAGAGGGGTAATGCATATAGGCACATACGTGAAACACAAAGGATTCGAGCCACAAGAGGGGGGGCAATCTTTTGGCACACGTGTGAACACACAGGATCCGAGCCACAGGAGACGGGATTCGATAGGCACATACGTAAAACAGATAGGATTCGAGTCACAACAGAGGGGCAAAATATAGGCACATCCGTAAACACACATGGGCTTCGACCCAAAGGACAAGGACAATACATAGGCACAAACGTACAAAACAGAGAATTCGAGCAACAGGAGGACGACAATCGGTAGGCACATGCACAAACACACACCATATTCGAGCCACAGGAAAGGGGTAATTAATAGGCACATCTGTAAAGCACCTCGGGTTCGAGACGCATGCGATTAGAAATATGTAGGCTCATTCGTAAAACACATGGGATTCGAGCCACAGGAGAGGGGGCAGTCTGTAGGCACATAATTACGTAAAACACATCGGGTTCGAGCCACACGAGGGGGGCAATCGGTAGGCACATACGTAAAAAACGTTGGGTTCGAGCCACAGGAAAAGGGCACTCGATAGGCACATACGTAAAACACGTAGGGTTCGAGCCACAAGAGAGGGGCAACATGTAGGCACATACTTAAAGCACATAGGACTCGAGCCATAGGAAGGAGAGGCGGCAATCCATAGGCACAACCGAAAGGACACATAGAATTCGAGCCACAGGAGGGGGGGCAATATGTAGGTACATACGTAAACATAAACACACAAATTTCGAGCCACAGGAGAGGACAATCCATAGGCCAATACGTAAAACACGCAAGATTCCAGCCACAGGAGAAGGGTAATCCATAGGCACATTCGAGCCCCAGGGCGAGGGGCAACATACAGAAACATACGTTGCAAAAATAGGATTCGAGCCCCAGGAGAGGGCCAATCTTTTGGTACATACGTAGAACACCCAAGAGTCGAGCAGAAGAAAGGAGTGGGTGGTCTTCGGAGGCCCGGGGGCGCCCGGAGGCCAAAAAGTCAACGAGTCCACAAAACCGGATAAACATAAACTTCCGACGTTTTCTCTCAGGGCCAGGGGGGGGGGGGGGCTCGGGAGGACGGCCTGGGGAGGGCCGCCCAGAGGCTAACAAATCCACGAATCGACACGGGATACGAATAAATGTTCGACGTTCTGTCCTGGGGCCCGAGGAGGCCTGGGGAGACACATGGGAGTCGAGCCATGGGAGAGAAGCACAGGAGGGGGCAATCCATGGGCACATACGTAAAACACGTAGGAGTCGAGCCGCAGGAGAAAAGCAATCCGTAGGCACACACGTAATACGCACAGGATTCGAGCCCCAGGAAAGGGGTAATCGAAAGGCACGTACGAAATCCACATAAGATTCTAGCCCCAGGGAAGGGCCAATCATACGCAAAACGCGCAACAATGCTAACTGGCACGAGCCTTGCACAGAAGCCTCAGAAGCCCTGGACAGCCACTGAACATGTTGCACATTGGCGCGAGCTACGCACAGAAGTATCAGAAGCCCTGTACAGCAGACAGCCACTGACAATAGTGCGAATTGGCGCCCTTGTCCAGCACACAAGCCTTATAATGACTTTTCGATCCTTCTTTCGCCCCTCCCGCTCGCCCGCGACGCGACGAACGACCCCTCCGGATCCCTCAAAAAGAAACCGCTCTACCGAGTCGGAAGAGAGAGGAAACGGGGAAACGGACAAAGCGGGAACCGACGGAAAAGGAGGAGGAGAGGAAAGGGACTCCCTGAACCTTCAACATGCAAGCCCGAGGCTTACGAAAAGTTCGCTGATGATGTGGCTTTCGCAGTCGCCAAAGTCGCCAGCCCAGACCACGATCCCGAGAGAAGCGGGGACTGCCCTGTCCGCTCCTCCAATCTCCCGATGATCATGTTTATGATCATTATGATGATGACGACGACGAGGAGGATGATGATAATGATGATGATAATGATGATGACGATGATGATGATGGTGGTGATGATGATGTTCTCTGGTGCTGTGCTGCTGCGCGTGCGTCTGCGCAGCGTGACAGAAACGCGGTCGGCCCTGACAGGGGTCTGCGAACCTGGCCCCAGACTCGCTTGCAAAGCTCTCTCGAGTCGACGCTGCGGACAGAATTGTCTGCGTTCACGCTGTTTCAATTTTTGAGCACGCTTTTGGCAGCCTCATGGAGACAGGGACATACAGAGACCTAGAGGCATAAAGAAATATAGAGACATAGAAAGACACATGGACATATATAGACATAGAGAGACATAGAAAGACATAGACAAACATACAGAGACGAAGAGAGACGTAGAGACCAAGAGCCATATATAGATAGAGACATATAGACATAATGGCATGAATACATAGAGATACATAGAGACATATATAGTCATAGAGAGACAGTCCGATGCATAGAGTGGCATAGAGAGACAGTGAAAGCCATAGGGAGGCATGGAGAGATATAGAGAGAAATAGAGAGACGTATAGACACATAGAGAGACACAGAGAGGC